ACCCCCCCCCCCCCCCTAGGAAACACGGGGTTGTTTTTCAGCAAATGATCAACACTCCTTTCCAAGGGGACAGGAGTCCAGGGGATAATCAAGGACGGCAGGTTATCTGAAAGGCGTTGACACCAGCCTAGGACGCATGATGAAACTGCTCCCGCTCAGATGCGCCTTCCTAATTACATTTGGCTCAGACGGAGAGCTTAATGAATCCACCTTCCCTATCACTCACCTGCCAGCATTCAGGGAAGCGGGCCCTGTGCAGTTTGGGGGAGATGATCCATTTTAGATCATACATAGGAAGAATGGATGGCTAAGAGTTGGTAGAAATACAGTAGCCCACACCCCCAGCCCCCTCCCCCTGGCAGGATTCTATGCAACCGTCTGTGGTTCTCCAAGTGGACAGAAAGCGTATGGGAGCTATTGCTTGGAAAACTCTGGCCTTTGCTTTTCCTTGGCAAAGGCCACCTTTGGGAGGGGCCTTCAGACCTGGCCGGACTGTGCACTCGGCAGCCCCCGAATTCCCCGCTCCAGCAGCCACGTTAATAGGATCTCCCAACGTGTGTGAGACCCCCCAGGCCTGTCAGGCAGTAGGTGTTCTGGAATCCCTAGGTGTTCTTCCTCTGCTTCCTTCTCTCCTCTTCCTTCTCTCCTCTTCCTCCCCCCCCCCACATCCTCCTTTCCTTCAAGGTCGTCACTGTCCGGCCTCAGTCTCACATGGGTTACAGTTCCGCCTCCATTGCTTGGTAGCTCTATGACCTTGGACACGTGACTTAACCTCTGCGAGCCTCAGTTGCCTCACCTGTGAAAGGGAGATAGCCAGTGCTGAGTCCACAGGCTGCTGGGGGTTAAGGCAGATCATCCCGTGGAGCAGGTCAGCTGGTGCTGAGCACAGAGGACGCACCACCTCCACTGACCCTGAGGTGCCATCTTTGTAAGGTGCATCCAGATTTCACAGACCGTAAAATGCGAAAGGATGTGTCTTGAATTGATGCAATAGAGTCTGTTAAAACCAGGAAGGACCCCAGACGTCATGTCCTCCTATCCCTTTACTTTTTAAATTTACTTATTTATTTATTTCTGTTAATCCTCAGCTGAGGATAGTTTTCCATTGACTTTTAGAGAGAGTGGAAGGGGAGGGAAGGAGGGAGGGAGGGAAGAGAGAGAGAGAAAGAAAGAGAGAGAGAGAGAGAGAGATGTGAGAGAGACACATCGATTGGTTGCCTCCTGTATGTGCCCCGATGGGGCCGGGGATCAAACCAGCAACCCAGGTACATGTCCTTGACCCGGAAACAATCCCGAGGCCCTCCGGTGCACAGGCCAAAGCTCTGACCACCAAGCCACGCTGGCCACGGCCTACCCCTTTATTTTACAGAGAAAGGAAATGGGCCCAGAGAGATGAAGTGAGATGCCAAGGCCCTGGGCTGACTTAGGGGCAGAAGCAGGCCTAGAACCTGGGGCGCCTGACCCCGGCCGCGTGCTTTCTGCCACGCCGGCTCAGCACAGAGCCTGGACCGTATTGCAGAGCCTGGGGCACTGATGTCCAGGGTCTATCTGATTTCATCTTCTTAAAGGAACCTGCATCCTCCTCTTCGTGCTGAAGAATGTAATCCGTGGCTAGCAGCCCCATGTCCATAAAGGAAGAAGGGGCAGCTGCCAGAAGCCACCCAGTTCCTTAGCTCCTTTCCTGCCTGTGGGGAGATAGCAGGAGAGGGGCCTCCTTGGGCACCTCCAGGCTGGGTGCTGCCGTGTGGGGTCCGGTCCCCACATCGGACACTGGCCGGCCAGAAGTCAGGCACCTGTCACCTCTTCAGGCTGACTCCGGAGGCTCCTGTGGGGCTCACCACCACCCAGCAGGATGGCCCGTTTCCTGGGCTTTGGGCAGAGGACTTGGACATGGCCTTGCAGGGAGCATAGGCTGGTGCTCAGCCTTAGGGGCTCCTGGCACCCAGGACAGCACTCATCTGGGATTTGTGGGTGGACGACCTCCCTTCCCACATGACTTACGTTATGGAGGGGACACAGCCAAAGCTTGGAATTCGTCTTTGTCTTTTCAGTGTGGGTTTCTGGGCGGACGCCAGGGCTCAGGGCTCCTCTGCACAGAAGGGCAGACCCGCCTGCTCTCCCCGCATCACAGTCTCTCAGCCAACTCTCCACGCCCCTTCACCTGCCCCAGGTTTTTAGGGAAAGTTGCGCCAAGTTGCCCACTAACCCCCACTCTCTCTCCCCGGGGCACTTGCCCCGTTTTTTGTGCTGACAGTTTCCGAGGAGGCCTGGACGTGACCCACGGACAGACGGGGGTGGAGTCGGTGTACACGATATTTCGGGACAGGGAGATCATGTTTCACGTCTCCACAAAGCTGCCCTTTACCGAGGGAGACGCCCAGCAGGTAACCGGGGGCGGGAGGGAGGGATCTGGGAGCCTGGGGCGTGCGAGGTGAGAGTCTTCTGGTCCCACCTACCTGAGGGACTGCACCCCCTCCCCTTTCACCACCAAGAGGCCAGTCTGTCCAGCGGAGCTCTTCCCCTCACAGCCTGTTCTCTCGCACTATCTCACCAACGCGGACAGGACAGCAGGGCTGAGGTTATCCCGCTCTGACCAGGGAGGCACTGCCGCTCGGTGTGGTCAAAAGACTGTGTCCCAGCTGCTTGGGGCAGAGCTGGGAGCGGAGCCCAGGGGCCCTGGTCATGTGGGGGGTGGTGAAGAGTCCCGACGGGGTCTGCAGATGTCCTGGACGCCAGCTCTGTGCTTCGGGGTATGTGATTCTGGGCGAGCGGTTGATCTCGTGGCCTCAGTGTTCTCATCTGTAAAATGGGGATAGCGCCATGTGTGTCCGAGCGTTGTTGTGGAGATCACACCTGGTTCTGAATGTAGGACCCAGTACGATGCCGGGCGTGCGGCAGGCTTCCTATCTGACAGCTGTTCGCTACCCAGACCGTGAGGCTTGTGCCCGCTTCCTGCCCCAGTGATGTCACTGGT